TCTTCCAGAAAATGGCCTAAATACCAGATGCACTGTATTATTTACATCTCTTTTTGGCAATCTGTTTTTTTGCCTTTTAATGATAAGATCTAGCAGTGCATCTTGTGAAACAGCCTTAGCCTTTTAGTGATGAGATTGACTACTGTATATTTTTAAATACTGTAGTAATGTACTGCATACCCATTGACTGTTGTATTATTGCAACTTAAAGTTCATTTTTTTCCAAAGTCCAGAAATTAATCAAATTTTGTAAGGAATACACCAATGGCACTTTTTTCTTAAAACCAACTCCTACACTTTAGGAGTGCCATCAGGTTTATTGTTTTAAATCATATAGTACCTTTGTCAACAGTACACCTCCCTAATTTTGATGTGTATAACAGTGCTTGTGTGATTAATGACTGTAACTTGCCTGAAGTTTCTTTTACTGTTCAGTTTGCCGAGCTAGGTCATACAGTAAACTTTTTCTAACCAGTGATATTAAAAATAAACAAATGATCTCAGCTGTTACCTTGACACAGCAATCTTGTCAGATTTATCTTATCAATGCCATTTCTGTGTGTCTCGTTGAAATAATAACAAATTGCAATTATATGTAAGAACTTTTGCAAGTTCCTAGAGACATAGGGTAACTTTGATTTAAAATATATACAATATAGTATTAAAGTTGATAAAATAGTGCTGAAATTGTGAAATGTCAATTTCACTCTGTGGGTGTTAATCATTTGTATATCATTAAATGAGATGGCAGTAAAGCCATAACATATAAGTTATGCAGTGATGTAGCTTCTATTGACATTGGGTCTTTTCCTGATATGATATCTCATACTGACATTGCTTGCAAACATTGATGTTAACAATCTTGCAATGCGGTACAGCCTACATTAAATTATACTGTAATTACTCATGTAATGTTATGATAGAGAGCTTGCGGTTCTTTTTAAAGTGACATCTAAGGTATAACTCTGTAGTGCCACTAATTTGACAAATGGAGAGGTGAATTCATCTGCTGCTATTTATGAAATCCTTTGGAGAAATGTGCAATACAGCTTTCTTTAATGTGAGCTGCTGTACAGTTACAAGTGCTTGGAACATTTGAAACAACTCAATCACAGGTGTACTGTACATTGATGTTAATAATACTCAGACCATTTCACATAGGCTTGCTTTTATTGTTGAGTTTGTACTTTTAGCACCCACTACCTGAATAAAAACACTAGATTTTCTACCTGATTAAAAATGCTGAGATTGATAAAGTACCAGCAACTGAATAAAATATTTGCTGTATGTGCTCCACTCATTTGTTTATATCCTTGGGATTATTTAAATGCAGTTTACCACAGTTCCTCATAAGTTATTTTAATGGCTATTTTCACAGTTGTCTTAAGTATTTAAAAAGCCACAAAATACCTGTTTTTCTTGCTTTACTCAAATTACTCAAAACTTAAATTGAGCTATTTTACCTTGCATTAAAAATGTTACCTTCATTGGAATATAGCCTTTGTTCCCATTTTTGTTGTAGCCGAGCTTGATAACTATAACTCTTTCCTGCTAATTAAATGCTTGATTGTTTTCCAGAGATCTCTATTGCCTTTTAACACCATGCCCTGAAATGCAGGCCCTTCACATCTCACTATTACTCCTTAAAGTTTAAAAGAAGCCCAAAATAATTCCAGAAGAGCTAAAATCAGTTGAAATCAGTTACTCAAGTAATTTGAGTAGCCTTAACAAAAAATTGCATTCCTTTCCTACTTTATACTTTTTGTTTCCGTGCCCAGTTTCATAATCTACATCTTTGTTCCCAGCATTCAGCACTGATGTACCAGGAATCATGTTTATGTTTGTATCTTCATTTTCAACATTATGGCCATATTCTGTTCTTCCTTTAATACTTATGGTTTCTCTGCATTGTGTCAATCTATTTTAATATTGTCCAAAATGCAATGTACAACATACTGTAGATATTCTCGGTAAGAATTTCTAAAATCTATCTACAGTATATGTAATAGGTATATCTTATAATGTTTCTTTGTTAGTCTTAACATTTGTTGCAAAGGTCATTTCTCCTTACACTAACGTTTTGGTAGTGTTCAGAAAAGCAATGCATGAGACCTGTAATCCTTCATTATCAAACACCATATTTCTCTATGGTAAGCAATAAGGGAATATTTATCAAAATGTTCAATCTGCAATGTTGTTGAAAGAGCTTTTGCTATGATATATGTACATTTAAAAGGTGTGCACATCACTCTAAAAGATTTGCCTGTTCTTTCTGTAAGTGTTGATCTTGGAGTCATTCTGTTTTTTCTCCAAGTGCAGTTACCAATAAGAATCATTAATTAAATACTGTTGAAGTACTTTTCATTCACTCGTTTTCCTAAAAGGACCATGGAAAGAAATTCTTGCTGAAGTATTTTCAGTCTGAGGCAGAACATGTGTTAAAAATACAGCACCTCTGATAAGTTTACTCTACAGTTGCCAGAAGTCAAGTTTTGATACCAACATTTCACTTGCAAATACCTCAAGATGTAGATACATGTGTATCTCAGAACTTGTTTTCTGTTTTGAGGGATGCTTGATAGTATAGCTATTAAAGTCATTGTTGGTGACTCCTTAATGCAAAAAGAAACATCTGCTATGGATATGGTTATGAGCTTAGATAGATAGATACGTTTAGATACATTTGTCTTATCCTTGGGTTATTTTTGTTTCATGGATCCAGATTACTTGAAAAGAGGGCTGCAGGGATTGTTGTTGGCCTCTTCCTTCAAGTAAGGGTGATGAACATTGGATGTGGAAATAATTGCTTAGTCCTTATATGATTGTTAGCCTCTGGTTCATCAATGGAGGTCGTGATGGGAAAACAAGATGGGTCTAGACAGCCGGTTTCCTGGTAGGTGCATGAAATAATACTCCACTGAATATTGGAACTGAAAAGTACCAACTTTAAGTAAAACAACATACAGTATATGGGGAGAATTTTCCCCCAGAACATGATGTGTAATTACTGGGGTTTAGGGACCATGAGATTAGTTCTTTGTCCTGTACGAATAGTCAGAGATTTACCATTTGTTTGATTAATTTTCCTGTATATCATATAAATATTTTTATATTATGAACTTTTAACAGTTTTTAAGTTCTTTTCCATGCTTGGTAGCCTGGTGTGGTGTCCGAGTTATTGTTTCTTTCAAGACTCATTTTGAGCTCTACAGTAAATTGTGATTTCTTGCCTAAGCTGTTTTTGTTTGACATGCAATGACAATTTACTGTAAAAAAGCATGGATATGTAAACATTTTTTATACCTCGAGTGGTAGAATTGTGCTTGTGGTGGTGGAAGATGTTGATGAGGAGACTGAAAGTATTAATCATTTGGTAGTTGGTAGTCCACTTGCAACTCTATCATCATCAGCAACAATTATACAATTTATGACCTAGGCCATCAAATTTAACATCCAGCATAATGTTTCTCTTCATGTACAAACTACACTAGCAATTTTCTTACTACTCACAGTTAAGGAATTGCAAAGATATAACACAAAGTTGAAATAATGGACAGTGTGTGACAGTTGCGATGTAAGATTGCAGACCTAGAAGCTACGCTGAGCATGCTGTACAGTACACAAGTTTAAAAATGTCATGGTGTTTTCTGAAAGTTGTAAAGAATTTTTACATTGAGTTTCTCAGTTCATCAACGACATAAGTGTGAAACAGCGTATAGTAGGGGTGACATATAACGGGGACTTTGTATTCAGAAAATAATTAATTATAACAAAAGGATCTGTGCGTTAAGTAGTAAACCTTCAATATAAAAGCCATCCTCCTTGTTGAAACCAAGATGACCAGTGTTGAGGCAAAGATCTGGAAACTCCAATATCATACTGTATATTAATAACCATCAACAATGCTTGTAGAGTATTCCAAATCCTAAAAAAAGTTTGATTAAAATCAACCCAGCTGATTTATTTAGAATCAACATGCACAAATCAGAGGACACAACTGGAAACTAAGTAAAAGAGCCTTTAAAACCCAGACGAATAAGCCATTCTTTACCCAAAGGGCTGTGGGAGTAGGAAAACGAACTACCTAGAAGCCTATACTCTAGCTTCTTTCACAAAATGAGACACTAGGATAAATGTACTACCCTAAAATGAGCTAGATGGACAAAATGGCCTCCTCTTACTTGTGTGCTCCTACAGTATGTAGTGTATATAACAAAGGAGTCATTGACAGAACTAGTCTCTAAATAATATAACAGTACCCAGTTTGAAATGGCCTACATGTTTATTTTTGCATTTGGGGAAAATACCATAACACATTAACAACTTTGCAACAGAATTTAACTGTGAACCAGGGGTTGTGGGAAAATGTTAGCCACACCCTGTTACTGCTTCAAAAGCTGCAGCAGATGTCAAGCTCCACAGGGCTTTGGGATTTACTAGGCCTTTTAAATAGGATTTGCACCATTTGTTGTGTTGTTTTTTTTAAAAGTGAAATCCCTTCTGTTAATATTGTAATCTGTCATCTCAGTTTTTAAGTAGATTGTTTTCCTCTTAAAATGCACTGTAGATTACATTTAAGTCCTTTAACATTGGTAAATGTTCCTTTCGTTTTGGTAGTGTTTGTCATGGCCTGTTCTGCACTAAATCCTTTATCAACCAGAGAAAAACCCATTTTTACTTTTATTGTATTTTCACATTCATGCTCTTGTTTATACCTCACTTGGCAGAGACACACTAGCAAGCATGTTTGGCATCTCTAACTTGTCTGTGTGCCCTGCAATAGACGAGTGTCCTGTCCAGGGGTATAGTCCCATCTTGCACCGTATACTCTGGGTAGCTCTTACCTGATGTAAGCAGCTTTCTGATAATGGATGGGTGTTCTTAATGACCTCACTGCAGTAGGTCTCCTACTTACGATGAAAATTCAAAAGGAAACTACCTGTCGGTGCAAGAAGTCAATTCTTTCATTTAACCCACGTGCTCTTGTGCTTCTTCTGCAGCGAACAGAGTATTTGTCAAGCCCGAGCTGCTGTCATGGTGTATGATGACGCCAACAAGAAATGGGTGCCAGCCGGCGGCTCTACAGGGTTCAGCAGAGTCCACATCTACCATCACACAGGGAACAATGCATTCCGAGTGGTGGGACGCAAGATCCAGGACCATCAGGTGAGAGACCGGCCTGGGCCGAGAATAAGAACTGCAGGTGGATCACCTGCTATATGTTATTAAATTCTCCAGTGTGACGTCTGCAGGGTTTCCTGTAATGGGGATTTCCATTTGCTGTGGACCAAGAAATATACTGATGATCAAAATATATTTTTTTATTAATAATTGCCAAAAAGGATACAGCACTTGGGTCAATGTTTTGGGCACTCTTTTGATCAGTTGGTGAGTCAGTTTAAGTTGTGGTTGTTAAATAAACACTAAATGATATCATTAATGATTATAATGATTATGAAGCATACTAATATGTCGTATGTCAAGCCGGGTGAATATCAAGAGAAAAAAAAAACTCTTCTTTGCTTCATTGCATAACTTGAGAGCAGTGCTTTTGTGTCACTGCTATGTTGGAGCATTGCCTCAGTGGGGTTCCTGCCCACATTGGGGTCAAAGCCATTTTATTGAAGAATTAAAGGTTTGTGTAGTCCTCAGCAAGTGTGATATTACTGTATGTACTGCAGACCTATCAATTGGTCTAGATGTGATGGTCTCACAGAAATGTCTAGTTATTGCACAACTTCTTCCTGATGGTGATCTGACTGCACAGAGCTACATTGATCTAGTTCCAATGTCTCCTGCTGCCATGCCTGTAGTCTCATCCTGTCATGCCAGTATCCCAGCAGGTTAGCTGATGTTGTTGTGCTGCTCTTGTAGCAATTACTTTTTTTGTGGAATGAGAATGATGGTTTCACCATGGATGCATTGTTTATTTATCAGGTGAGCTACAGTAGGACGCAGAGTAGCTTCTGGAGTTAAAATGCCAGTGAACAGAAACATGCCTGTTCAAGATCTTCAAAACAGCAACTTGGTGTAAAACATATTGCTAATGTATAGCTTGTGCTAATTTCTAAGATGACCACAGTCTATTTACTATAGCTGTGACTTCCTCAGTAAAGTCCCTGTTGAGCATCTAGGTTAATGACAGATGTTAATCAACATAATTTACCTATATATATTACTACACTTACAGCCTAAAGTTTCCTTTATATTCTTGAACAGAGAAGACTATGAATGGACCCGATGCAAGTATATAAAATTCTCCAAGGCGTTAATAGAGTCAAGCCGCTGGATTTCCTAAGAATAAACTGTGAAAGTACCCCCTTTTCATTTGCAACCGCTATGTCCTTATTTGTCATGTCTGATTGATGAAAATGTTAGTGCAGCTGCTATAAAAGATTGCCATTTTCCTGATGATAATGTCTTGAATTTAGTCGTTCTAACTGATAAGTTTCTTTTGATGCGTGGTATACGTGATACACTCTGGATGAGATCGTCCATCAACACACAAAAATAAGCACAATGAGATGAATTTGGAGAAAAAATATTGGAAAAAATTCTGCCTATAGCATTCAAACCATCTCCCATCACTGTGGGCATATTTTTTTTTCTTTTAAAGAGGAAAGGAGTCACAGATTGAACTGAAAATTCTATGAACATTCAGGAGCTGGTTTGAAAAAGGCAGTTCAACATCTTATAATTTTATGGGAAGGCCAGAGTTTGCATGGTACATTTTGAACTCCATTGTGAGATTTGTCTTTCTGAATAATATCACAATATTGGAGACTCTTTGCACTTGCAGTAAATAATTGCTTGATTACAGCAATTTAAAATTAAGCGTTATTGCTTCTATCCAAGTATTTCAAAGACAACATTATTCACATCCTAAACTTTATTTTTCAAAAACTGTTTGCATTTAATATTTATGTTAAAAGAGTATTTTGCCAGGCCTTCTTTAATGTATTTAGTGAATGAAATGGGTTATGTCGTTACAGGCTTCTTGCTATTGTATCCCGTGTATGTGGTTTTTAGCAGGGTAGAAGGAAGCACTGATTTTATTAAAGTAACCCCATGTGTGTTTAATAGGGTACACACCAGGTTTTTGAGGCAGATTCTAGTATTAGGGCTTTTACTAAAGGTTTTAGGTGTTGTATATCCGTTTGATATCAGCTTCTTTTGAGCTACTATGAGGTACGTTTCCAATGTTTTGCAACTCTTGTGGTAAACCCACAGGTAACCAGGTCTCCTAGAGGCCTTGCATCCCCAGACCATAGATTTGCACCTGTGTCACCTCTAATCCCAGGCTCATGAGGTTTCAGCAGCTGAACAGTGCTGGTTCAGTTTGTAGCACAAACTCTAGATATAATACAAATTCTCAGGCTGTTTCTGTAGGTGGTTCTGTACTGTATTAGGGGACTCATGTGGATGGCAGCACCTCTGTCTTGTCGTCTTTGAAATGATATCCTGATATAACAAGACAAAGAAAATGTTAAACCAAGCAAGCAGTGATTGCTTAACTTTGGTTTGTAAACGGGATTCTCAAAGCCTCTCTCATGTTGTCACATGATGGAGTTACTCTGATGTCTTAGGTTTTGCCAGAAATATTTAATGGGATTTTTAGATTTGCTGAATGCAGGAAAACTGTCTTTTTTAAAATTACAGCTGCCTCAAATGAACCTCAAATGAGAGACAGACTTTCTAGATGAGTGATATCTGGTGAAAAGGATAGCTATTTTACGTACTGTATAAAGGGGAACCACAATGCTATTTTTTTTATTTTGGGGTTGGAAAGAATCGTCTGAGTGCATTTCAAACTGCAATAAAAGTAAAATGTACACAGTAACTTCTCAAACCTCCAATTGACATCACAAAATTAATTACATTTCCAGTTATCCTGTTTGTGCAGTGTCATGTTCTCTAATTCAGTGCTGTGTGCAGCCCTATGACATTGTAAACAAGCAGGCTTGTGTATAGGGCTGGGCAATATGGCCAAAAACATTATCACGATAAACATTTTCATATCAGTCAATATCGATATTTATCACGATAAATGTCAAATCATTATTTCTTTCAAGTTTAAAGACAGATTTTTTCTCCTGAGTGAAAGTTGAAGAAACCAGACAGTTAATTGGTAAATTAAACAACTCTTTGAGATGGTCATTGGCAGCACTACATTTGCTTCAGTGTCGCTCATCTCTCCATTCTAACTACAATCTTGTCAGCCACCACCGTGTGGGTAAACAACACCACGTTAGCTGCCCGGTCTGCAACAAGCACGCGCACTCACTCAGTATTTTGTGCGCATGCGCATATCATGTGCAAAGCATAAACATATATATTGAACATTTATTGAACTTTTGTTAAAATTATATCGAGAAAAATTATATCGCGATAATTATCGTTATCAAATTATCGTCCAGCACTACTTGTGGATACATCTATTTTAATCCAATGGAAATATTGTTTGATTTTGACTATTTTGTAGACAAACACTACTACACTACACTAGTAACTCTGCATGCAGATTATATTGGAACATTTGTGCGTTGAAATGTCTGTTGCAAAACCTTTATTTATTCACTTGTACATTATATTACATCAGTCATTACAATGACTAGTGAGCAGGAAGGGCAGCATGTTGTCGGAATTTGTGGGAACTTTTTTCAAGTTGGAGACAACACAGCAACTTACAGTAGTTTCACTAGACATGATTTTGTGCTTATTTTGAAATTAGTATTTGTTTCTGTAATGTCAATGAATTGATTTTGTTACAGAGGTTTAATAACCAGCCCGAGAAATTGATACTACAGTTCCCCTTTAACTGGGTGGGACACGCGTCTTGTGGGGTCCGCCTCCGTGGTGCTGGCTGCAACACCCCCTAAATCCTTTCCTGTCATTTGTATGGTTCTACTATGGGGGGTGGAGGCTTGTAGTGCATAGCTTTCTGATTCTTAATTAGGAGCTGTTTTTAGAGTGTTTCTTTGGCGACATGGAGGGAGGGGGAAGAATTTAGTGCTCTTTTTTTGAAAATTTAGAGCTAATGTAAGCTGGTTCACAGAATAAATGCTTATCATAGTTATTTTGTAAAATAAGTAGATTATTATTACTTGAGCCAAATTTATCAGGGAAACAATTGTCAGTATTTGCAAATAGTGGTGTGTTTAAAGAACTGTGTGCATTACCCGGCATTTTTAAGTGTTTGTCTTAAGAATGTTTGAAGACATATTGGAGACAGAAGGTTGAGCTGTGTAGCAGCTGTTTTGGCAAGAGGGAAGTCCCAACTTAAATCTAGTATTTATGAGTGCTGAACACCCGGTTTTATTTTTCTCAGTGTATGGATACCATAACTGGAAACTAATTTAAAAATAGTTGGGTTGTAGTTGCATTCAACTTGAAAGGAGAAGTCTGCTTCACAAGCAGTTATGATGGGTTGATACAGTTGTATTGAAGAGAACTTCAAGCTGTAAATCCAGCTTTGTGGAATGATGAGAAAAGTGGGGGGGAAAGGGGCTCATTTTCAGTTGGTGTACCAACATACAGCCTGACATAGTGATGGACTGATTTTAGTATTACTGGAAGAGCATGAGTTAGAGGCATTATTAAATGGTACTATAGTTCCAGATACAGGGTAGTTTTATTGCTGAGGAGACATCGAAGATTTAATTAGCAAACACTTTTGGCTTGTGCTAACTTTGAAACTCTTATTTATAATAATAATAAGAATTAATAATAATTGCTTATACTTATATAGCGCTTTTCTGGACACTCCACTCAAAGTGCTTTACAGGTAATGGGGACTCCCCTCCACCACCACCAATGTGCAGCATCCACCTGGATGATGTGACAGCAGCCTTAGTGCGCAGAACACTCACCACACATCGGCTATTGGTGGGGAGGAGAGCAGAGTAATGTAGCCAATTCATAGAAATTCATATTTAAAGACTGATTATGAATTTTCTGTTTTAACTAGAAAGTTTGTTAAATGGGAGTAGTCAGTCTTGTTTTGTGGCTTTGATTTCACCTACATTTCAGCAAAGAATCCCTCTAATCTTGTTTGGAGTAGCCTTTCAGAGTTTTGTTTCTTTTGCTTATTGGCATGGCATTGTGGAAGCTGTAGTCTTGGTTAAGCTTCTCTTGTCAAAATTGATTCCTTTTTAAGGCCTCATGAG